AGGGCTTGTGATGCTTATGAGAATGGCATATCAGAAAGTTTCAACTCTGTTATTGATCTTGCTAGGAAAAGGCCACTCATCACCATGTTGGAAGAGATAAGGATTTATGCAATGGAGAGGATGTATAAAATGTTGCAAGAGGGACAAAGTTGGGGGAATTTAAAAATATGTCCATCTATAAGGTTGAAGATATCAAAGCTAAAGAAACAGCAAAGGTATGATATAACTTCTATTTTATAAATATTATATGTCTCATCTATAAGATTAATAGAACTTCTTATTTTTTTGGGCAGATTTTGGGGTGTTATACCATCTGGGATACAACAATATGAAGTTAGGATTGGAAATGATGGATATGCTGTGGACCTTAACAACAACACATGTGGATGTAGATCTTGGCAAGTATCAGGTATCCCATGTGTGCATGCAGTGGCAGCCATTTCATACCTTAACAGGAATGCAGAGGATTATGTTGCACCATGGTTCCATACAGCCATGTTCTTGACTTGTTACAACCATACCATTAACCCACTTAATGGTAGTTCCATGTGGCCTGAAGCTCCCTACATGAAGCCATTGCCTCCTCAAAAAAGAAGGTTACCAGGAAGGCCAACCCTTAAAAGGAAAAAAGATCAATCTGAGATGGAAAGCAAGGGGAAAACAAGGCATACTATCTCAAAAGCAGGTTCAGTTAATAGATGCAGTATTTGTAGAGAAAGGGGCCACAATAGATCAACATGTCCTACTAGACCAGCAGATGTAGCATCCACTTCAAGGCCAAAAAACAAGAAACCTAAAAAATGTAAAAAAGAGAAAGGTATGCTATTAAAACAATATAATTTAAATGGAACATCCAACTCATTAGCTACATATTTGTATAGCAGGTAAAGTGGAACCAGTTCAAGTGGATCCAGTTCAAGTACCAGCTCCACAGGTTGATCCAGTTCAAGCAGATCCAGTGGATCCAGTTGATGTACCAGCTCCACATGTTGAACCAGTTCAAGTAGATGATCCACATCCAGATGTTGATGTCCCTGCTCAACCAGTTGCAACTAGGCAGAGGATACGAAAATACTCAGAAAGAATTACCAAGATAGGGTTGAGGAGGAAGGTTTTGAAGAAAGAAGGAAGCACTGGACACAACCCAATGGTGTTGGAATGATTTTATTTGGAAAGACAAACTTTTAGTCTTATAAATATGTAATTGGGAAAAATTTAAGAATCATGGCACATGGCACATCTTTTGACATATTAGGACAACTGTGGGCACAACTTTTGTAATAGTGCACATGATGATGGAATATTACAACTTTGTCTTTTATCTATATGCTTTGGTGTACGGTTATTTGCATATAGATTGTTTAATCTTATATTATCTATCATAAATCAAGTAAATTTAGTATTACTACATTAAGCAAAGTTTGGTGTTGTTGTTGTTGTTAATCTGGACCATATTACCCTTGGATCACATCAACACATTAACAATTGATTACTGCCAAATTTAATATGGACCATTTTACCCTTGGATCACATCAAGACATTAACAATTGATTAATGCCAAGATTTAGTCTTAATACATTAAGAAATGTTTGATGTATCCAATGTGGTTAATCTGGACCATTTTACCCTTGGATCACATCAACACAATAACAATTGATTACTGCCAAATTTAATCTGGACCATTTTACCCTTGGATCACATCAACACATTAACAATTGATTAATGCCAAGATTTAGTCTTAATACATTAAGAAATGTTTGATGTATCCAATGTGGTTATTCTGGACCATTTTACCCTTGGATCACATCAACACAATAACAATTGACTGCCAAATTTAATCTGGACCATTTTACCCATGCATCATGTCCAATTCATTAACCTTTTAAACACATTAATACTTCTTGGAAAGCACTCAAAACATCAAACTATCATTAATCAAAAAGATTTAGTCATAATACATCAAACAAATTACAACATTAAGGATTACATTTAGTCTTTGAATACAGCTAAACTAAGGGTTAAATTAAGGGCTAAACTACTTCTTAAACACAAACAACAGAAACAACACAATCATCACAACTTTATGAGTAAATAGCTTCCATTTGAGTTTTTCAAACTCTTGTCTAACAACCAAATTTTCTTGTTCCATCTTCATCTTACATATGCTGATCTCGTTTTCCAATATAGAAACTTTGAGGGTTAAATTGCACGGTTCTTTTTTGTCCTTCCCAGAATTGACTTCATTTTCAGGGGTTTCAGGCTCCAACCATTCCCAGAACTTGCATTTTGGTCCTTCATTCTTGAAAAAAGTAACAAATTGGTTAAAGAAAGAAGATAAAACGAAAAGTAAAAAACAATTGCTTTACCATGGAGTTAGGGCACAATCTGAATTTTTTTCCTGGATTGTCTTTAGTTCGTGAAGTTCGTACACGAGATGGTAACCCACAGTAACAAGGATTTTCAGGTTGAAATTCAACATTTCGTTTGGAAGAAATAGAAGAAGAAGAAGAAGACATGTCGATCTAGGGCAAGAACGGGCAAGAAGATGCAGTACTTAACTTTGCAATTAATAAGCCCAGTTTATGGCACATAATGCCACGTAATATCCACATAAGTAGTAACCTACAACAACCGGTATCAAGGGCTTTGGTGAACAGGGATTACAAGTTCAATGGTATAATAAAGACAAAAAAAAGATAAGGGACCTAATGAATACAAGACGAATACTTTATTACCCTCAAAGGTCATTTTCCCTAAAAGAAAAATAAGGGATCTTTCCCGAATCGGGCTCCCTTTCTTTCTTAAAGAAAATAAAAAAATAAACAAACTCAAAATCACAATTCATTTCCTAAACGAGTTTTCTTTTTTCCTTTACTTAACTCAAAGAACAGGACGAAAAAGTGAACATCTGTTCCCCGCCATTTCTCTTACGGTATCTCACCACTTGCCGCGGCTATGCGCCAGTGATTGCACGGACTCTTGCTGTCGCCACCGCTACCTGAATGTCTCTCTCACACTCGATGGTCATTTTCAAAAATCAATCAATCCAGCAAGTAAAGAAATCAAATAGACGCCAAAAGAAAAGAAAATTTGCAGAATTTTTACCAAAAACAACATAATATTGTCCTTCAAGGCCATCTTTATTGATGAAATCCCAGAAATTTAACTCTTAAACCAATGCCAGTTGATGAATTTATCATCAAAAAACAAGCTTTGAGTTGGGGAAAGCCCTAAAACTGAACTCAAAACTTCTTGACTTGGGAAGTAACAAGCATCGATCACCGAATAAACCCTAAAAAGCTACCAAAATTCAAATAAAATATAACCCAGTGATGACAAACCTGAAAGGGCAGAAATAAGAACATCATCACCAATGACCATAAACGATCCTACACAAGCAGAAACCTCTGCAACACTCGATGTTTCTATGAAGTAGAATTTTAAGTCTTGACCCAAAAGAACTCATGGCTAAAATAGGTATCCCTTTTTATAGCTTTACAATTCTTCATGAGCTAATTGACAATTAGGCAATAAACTCAACCTACTATGTCTAGTTGTCTACAAACCAATGCAATATATTCTGTTGTTAGGGGTTCCTCTTTTGAGTTGTGTTCAAATTAAAATTGTTGCGTTTACATTAGAATTTATTGAAAATTGATATGTTTAAGTTAAAATGTGTAAAAGCTTTTTGTGGTTATTATCTTGTTAACTGGGATTGGTCCTCCTTTAACCGGTTCTCTTATCTAAATCCTCCATAAAATCCCACCTCCATCATTTTACCTAAAATTGTGAGAGGAGTTGCTTCAGCATCTCTCGGTTTCAAATTTGAATGAGCACCATGGGGATGATGTTGGTTAAAAGTTAAAACTCAGAGGAAATTAGATAAAGTCTTTAGATTGGATCCTTGTATGTGGAGCTGAAGAGATTAAACGTTTATGTAGGTGTTCTTAGTTTGCCTTATGCTATAGCCTACCTCACAAAACACACTCAACATACCTTGGAGGCTTAATGGTGGCCATAATTATGCTAGCATAATAGATGTTTGCTTAATTTTATGTTTTCAAACTTGTTTGGGTTCTATGGTATTTCTTCACGGTGTCTGTTGTTGATTTGATCGTGATTGCAACATCTTGTTTTTAATGTGTAATTGCAACCTCTTATTAGTTGAATTCGGGTATCCTTTACATGAAATCATGAGCAACCTTATATATTATTTAGAGTAAATTACACGAATGGTCCCTATGGTTTGGGGTAATTTGCGCGTTTGGTCCCTAACTTATTTTTTTAACTCGGAAGGTCTCTACTGTTTGTTTTTGTTATGCGCTTGGTCCCTAATGTTTGTTTTTGTTACACGCTTGATCCCTGTTTTACCCAAAACGACTATCATTTAAATAGAAAAAAATGATGGGCATGTAAGGTAAGGTGAGAGGGGTGGGGTTGGGGGTGTGTTTATTTAAATAGATTAAAAAATCAAGGGTAAAATAGTCTTTTTATGTATAACAGGGACCAAGAGCGTAACAAAAAAACAATAGGGACCTTCCGAGTTAAAAATATAAATTAGGGACCAAATGCGCAAATTACCCTAAACCATAGGGACCATTCGTGTAATTTACTCTATTATTTATTGGGAGTTCCAAAGTGTAATTTTGTTTGTAATTTACCATAATACGGAGTATAATTTTGTTTGTAATAGGTTGTTGCTAAAAAAAATTGTATTTTATTGGTTGTATATGTTGATTTGCTTACTAACATTATCTAAACAAATCCTTTTTGGAACCAAACTCATCTTTTCACGTTTTTCTTGATCTCTAACTTGCTTTTGCAAATAAAGTCCTCCTAACAAAAATTGTCCTTCACGTAACATGTAGTTTTTTCCTTTTTTTTTTTAAAGATGTATTTATTTTGTATCCCTTTATCACAGCCAAAGCAGTCTTTACAGTTTTACCTTTGTTAACAATCCATGTGTCAAAGCATTGACAACATAAATGCACAAAATGCATGTAACATTTAGGTAGTGACTACAAAATCAACAAGGCTTGTTTTACACGTTTCATCAACTCATCAATAATTGACTGAGAGTTTATATGGTGATATTCATTCTTGTTCCTTGATCAAACCAAATAAGAGTGTCATGTCATGAAAACTACTTCTAAACCAACTTAATTCTACCATTTCAAATCAAGTATCAAAATCAACTAATCTAAAAAGAGTTTATATAGAACAACAGATGAAAGAAGAGAAGATTACTATACATTCACAAGAAGTTTGAAAGAGGAAGGGTATACATGTCATTCGTCTTTTTCTTTGTGTCTTTTTCTGGTAGAGTTATCAGGTCCAGAATCTATCCCTAAACACTTGAGAAAAGCTTGTTTTGCAAGCCCAAAAAGATGACAAGGATGATATGAATGTTCCAATATCATGTTGTTTTCCTCATCTACTGCAGTGGGGCCCTCACCAACATTCGGTTTCTTTGCCCTTTGTGCTACTTCACTTGTGCTTGTTCCTGTCTCCCTTATTATTTCATTTTCTGTAACCTACAAATATCATGATTCATGATTCTCAACTAATTAAACCAAATGATCCTAATTACCTATTAGCAGTATAAACAAAAGATACAAATTACCTCTATTACAAACCATAAAAAAAAAAAGTTCTAGAATAAATATTTGGGTAAATTAATGCTTTGAGGCTCGGGAGTTAAATTTGTACAAATGACCATTTTGCCCCTAAACTCAAAAACAATTCAACTTGTACCGATATGGTCTCTGAAAAGGGTTGAATTTAGGATTGATTTTTGGGGTTTGGTTGAATCTGTTTTGAATTTAGGATTTCTAGAGGGTGAAGATGAAGAAGATAGGGGTAAAATGGTCATTTAGTAGATTTTTTTTTTTTTTAATAGATACTCTTTTAAAACGGATTCTCCAATCAAAAGAGATTTCTATGTTATTGGATGCATCATAAAGATATACGAATGCTAGTCTTAAAATTATACTTTGCTGACAACAAAACAACAAAATAAAGTATTGACATGTTGGATATTTGCACACACAATATAAAGCATTCAGGCTACAGCAATGTTATATATATGAGCTGGCTTGTCTCATCAGAAGTTTGGCAAGCTCTCTTGGCATCATTATAGTAATTGATAATGTTGAAGGCAAAAGAAGACAAAAAAGAAAATATTAAACCTACAAACTAAATGGATATCATGCTCCCTATCCCTGAAAACATCTTTAGACACTGATATAGTCATATATGAATTTGGGGAAATACAACATATGATCAATATGAATGTAAGCTAACATGAATTAACATGCTTAAAGAAAAAGGGTTGTAGCTTAATAACAACTTCTTGGTTCCTTCTTTTTTCTTTTTCCTATTTAATGTATAAAAGGCTACTAATTATTTCTTAAGTAGGAATCTCTTTGTTTACAAGAAAGATGAGTATTATACCCTTAATTTTCTTTGGGGGATGTACTTTCTTAAGGTCCAGTACTCCTTAATCTCAACAACCCTCTAGTTTTTTGAAAATTTTGGACAGATTCATTAAACTTGTAACAATCGCTTCAATCCCCAATTCATTGGTGCCAAATTTGTATAAGAATCTTTGGCGATTTAAACTTCTAAAAGCATTCAAATGTAAACGTCATAAGGCAAAACAGATTCGGTTTCATGTCCTTAGGAAATTGAAAGGCGTTAATTGTATTCTGGAAAAATCAACTACAGTAACAGTATCTCAACTTCAACAACATCAAATTATCAACGTTTAAGACATAAGGAGTGGTGAAATAAGAGATATCAAGCTAAGAACTCATAGCATACCTTGTAATTCTGATAAGTGTTTGCAGCGACGGGAGTGATGAAAGAGCGAGATAGGGCGGGGGATGACTGCGAAGCGGAGGCGGAGGTGGTGGCGGTGGAGAAATGGAGGGGTAGATCGGAAGGGGTGGTGGTGAAAATATAAAGGAGGATAACGAGAAGAAACATAGCTAGTAGTTGGATCCAAATCAGCCATGGGATCCTGTAGCTGTCAATAATTAGTTCATCCCCAAACTCAAACATCGTAGAGAGAGAGAGAGAGAAGAGAGAGAGAGAGAGAGAGAAAAGACCGAAATCGACTTCAAATATTCCGAAAGACTTCAACAGAGCTTCTCGCCGTCTTGTTAGCTATATTTAGCTTATTAGTATGTGGATTTGTGGTTTTAGAAATGATATTAAAATCAAAATTAAGAGTGGATTACGGGACATGGTCTTGGTTTAGATGCTAAATTGTATAATTAGGTTGTATCTAGCCTTCAACAATCAGTTTATTTTTTTGAGTTTTTTTAAATTATAATGTTGTCAAACAAAATATAACTAAGCTTTTTAAGAGATTTTAATTTTTTTAAAAAAATACACTTAATTAATTAAAAAAAAATACATTCTTATAAATGTCATTTATGTTATCTTATACCTTTCAGTCGGCTAGTTTTTATCAAATATTATTTTTTGTTAGCTAACTCATAAGTTAGCAGTTAGTTTTTCAGCTGGTCTACCAAACATAATATTAATTTTTTATTTTAAAAATAAATTTAAATTGTTATTCATTTTGTTTTAAACCAAATTTATTTTTTGTTGGTTTAAATTTATACTTTTCAATTTTTGTTAGACATAAAATATTATATTACCTATATTATTTTATTTTTAATTTACTTATATTTTATTTTGAATTTATACAAAATAAATAAATAAATAAATCTAACCCCACCTTACCCACTCACCCCCATAAAATTCCAACCTAATGTATATTTCTCCCTCTTTTTTTCTCTACTCCCAAAACTATCAGCATCACCTTAACTTTGGTCTGTCGTACCTAGTGGCGGATCCAAAATAAAACCTAGGGTCTTATACATAAAAAAAATATATAAAAGTATAATATTTTGAAAGTTTAGAGTATTTTTGGGTTTTTAAACAAATTGTTTTTCTATGGTCCTATTTTCTGTAAAAATGGGTGTCAAAGAGGGGGGTGTTTGGTAAAAATAGGAAAACTTCGAGGTTTTTTTTGGTAATAAATGGGATGGAACCCTCCTCTAAGTGGGGTCCATGCACCCCACTAAAATTGGTTGCCTCCGCCACTAGTCGTACCACCATGTCGAACCACCATCGCTAGACCTCCACTGTTGGACCACCCATATATCTTCTTTTTTATTACACGTTCAGAAAGAGATTTACCACACCCACTCTCTTTCCCTATATCGATGCTAGAACGCGATATCTTGAAATTGACCATTGTTGTTTCTGGTAGGCATGACAATTAGGTTGAGTTCGGATTGATGGGTCAAAAAACATAAACTTAACCCAACTCGTATAATGTTTGAGTTAGCGAGTTGGAAACCTCAACCCAACCCAACCTATATACACGTTTAAGTATATGGGTTCGCGGGTTCACATGCCAGTGGGTCGAACCCAACTCGCATAACCCATTTAATAAATAAGCAACATGTTTTAAAAAAAAGAAGTTTTTCAACATAAAGTCACTAACATAAAAAAAAGGTTTTCAACATAAAGTCATAAAGTCATTGACAACCAAATAAAATTGAAAAATAAAAACATTCATATAAAGTGAAATTGTTCAAAAATATTCAAAAACCAATTTGATAATTCATTCATGTTAGAATTCTCATTTCTTCCTCCAACACCGACTTCTTCATGATGACTTTGAAATAGAAACAATATGCAAAATTAAATTTATGATCTTTTGAAAGCTATATAAATAATTTTATGCTTTCCACTATTTCTACTAAAAAAACTCACCAAATGACAACTTAAAGTATGTTGGAATTTGTAGCCTCCATATTGTTTTCATTAATGTTCAAATTCAAATTCATTGAATTTTGAGTTAGGTTGTCAATAGCCACATTCAAATCAACTGTATAAGGAATAGAAAAAAAAAAGAATAATTTATTAGAGATAAAACATGATTATCTCTAAATTGATCTAAATGGAATTTGGGTTTGTCTGTAGTCGGGCCGATATGTCACCTTTTGTGTTTCAACGACATCGTGATATTATATACATCCTGGTTTATGTCGATGATAGTATTCTTACTGGCAACAACTCTGCTCTCATCAAGACTTTCATCACTCGTCTCAATAATGAATTTACAACAAAGGATCTTGGCAATCTAAGTTATTTTCTGGGTCTTGAAGTTACTTATCCCGACAATGGTTTGTTTCTCACACAAACTAAGTATGCCCATGACATACTTATGAGAGCTGGTCTACTCGAATCTAAACCTGTCTCTACCCCATTGTCTACTTCTGAGTTGCTTACTTCCCATCGATCACTGTTTTCTGACCCTGCTTTGTATAGATCACTTGTTGGAGCCCTATAATATCTCACAATTACTCGCCCTGAACTCTCTTATGCAGTAAATCAAGCCAGTCAGTTTCTTCATGCTCCAACCAATGATCACTTTCAAGCAGTCAAACACATCCTTCGCTATGTCAAAGGCACCATCTCTTATGGTTTTCATTTTCAAGACCTATATCTACCTCCTTAGTTGGTTACTCGGATCAAGATTGGGCAAGGTGTATTGAAACACGGCGATCCACATATGGTTACTCAATATTTCTTGGTGGAAACCTTGTCTCTTGGAGTGCCAAAAAGCAACCTACCATCTCCCGATCCAATTGTGAATCTGAATATCGTGCCATGGCTAACACTGCTGCAGAAATAGTTTGGGTAAGTCATCTCCTGCGAGAACTCCATGCTCTTCCACCTGATTGTCCTGCTCTCCTTAGTGATAACCGAAGTGCAGTATTTGTCAGCCAAAATCCTATTGTACACAAGAGAGCCAAACACATCGAGATCGACTACCATTTTGTATGCGAGCGCGTTGCCTCAGGAAAGCTTCGTACCCAGTTTGTTCCCACTCATCTTTAGTTAGCTAACATTTTTACCAAAAGTCTACCTCGTCCTTTATTCGAGAGATTTCAAACCAAGTTTCGTGTTGGTCCTCCACCGCTTAGCTTGACGGGGGGTATTAGAGATAAAACGTGATTATATCTAGATTTATTTAAATGTATTTAAATTATAAGTTAACTTGTATCTTATCTTGTAAATACTATACTATATAATCTCAATCAATACAATAGGAACATTGTAACACTCTAAAAAATTCAAACCAATTTAAACTTTTCAAAAACAACCCAGTTTCGTTAAATTATTACAAAAAGGTTTTCAATACAATTATTATCAGAGTCCTCCCAGAACCATATCGTAAAACATAAACATGAGGAGTGGTACGATCACGCCTTCGCCTTGCCACGGTCTCCTGAAGTACCTGAAAAACATTAAATCATAACTGTAAGCCCGAAAGCTTAGTGAGATACCCCCAAAATACCAACCACATATACCACGCATAACATATCATAACCGAACAGAACAGTCATGCACTTCGGGTCTACTGTGTGACTGGTCCGCCGCACCGGGCCTTCAGTCCACCTGGTCCACCCTCCGAGTCTAGCCATATCCCTCGAGTCTGTAGTGTGGTTGGTCCGCCCGCACCGGGCCTTCAACCCACCTGGTCCACTCTCTAAGTCTACAGTATGACTGGTCCGCCCACATCGGGCCTTCAGTCGGCCTGGTCCACTCTCCGAGCCTCGGCACGTCTGGTCCGCCCTCGTAGGGCCTACATCATATCCGGACCGCTCGTTGGGCCTTCGGGATAACCGGTCTGCCCTGGGTATGTTGGCCTACAACACAATGCAGGATCCGCCTCAACCCAACCCCAGTCAAACAACCATGTGCACATAAACATACAATCATATAACAATTCACATCCAATCAAACCGATCTAGCAGATCACATAACATAACATACTCTAAACAGAATACCGACCTAACCGGTCACTAGCATAACATCATCCTATATACCAGGATACCGACCTTAACCAAGTCTTTAACATATACCATCCTAACTACCAATATGCAAAACATAACACGATACCCGGATTACAATCCGATAAAGGGCCGACCTTGGTGCTTTAGACCCTGTTGATATAGTGAGGATAACTCACCTTGCAACTGCTGACTGAAAAGATAAGATCACGCTGCTCCAACCTCCGACACGAACTCCACCCCTGATAATACCAAAAGACTGAACCCAATAAATACCAATAATTACCAAAATGCCCTAGGAAGTCAACTGATCAACTCTTGGTCAAAGTCAAAGTCCTCAGTCAAAGTCAAACTTCCTGACTGACCCTACTCGCCGAGTCAGCCCACTGACTCGCCGAGTCCCCCAACTCTAAAAAATCTCATCTCAACTCACTGAGTCATCCATTGACTCACCGATTCTCAGCTTAACCAGAATAGGCTAGAACCTCAAGACCAGACTTGCCGAGTCCAAGGCTATCTTCAATCAACTCGTCGAGTTTCTTCCTATCTTCATGCAACTCGCCGAGTACACCCATGTGACTCGCCGAGTACTACCCAGCTGATCTAACTTGATTGTTGGAGTCCGCTCCCAGGGCACAGTCCCTGGTGCGACTCTAACGACTTTGCACTGATGTCCAGATCTTCGCCGCAGCAGAAGACCTGTAGACTCGTCGGAGGTCGATGTCGCATCAGTAACATTATATACAAAAAATATATTGTTACATTTAAGAACAAAAACAATGTTTGATGTTTTAAATAATTACAATAATCGAAATTAAAATCTTAAGTAAATAAAGTTTTTAAAATTAATTAATCATAACAACTATAAATATCATTAAACCATATATTATATTTAATTTTATTCATGAGTAACCCGCATGTAAAGGTCATTAAGACAATTGAGATTATAAAATTTTAAAAGATGTCTACATTATCGTATAATTCTTAACAAACAATGTTTATACCAATTTATTATACGATCTACTCTAATAAATAAAGATCTTTTTGCCACATATCACATTCTTATTTATTTTGCCACATGCAATTTTATGGTTATTTTAATTTAATTTTTATTACACATGTCATTTTATGGTTTTTCTATTTTATTAAATTCCATATATTATTTAAATCTAATAATAAATGCATATCAATTTCATTAATGGACTTTCCTTCTAATTTTAAAATTACTAAATTAAAGTTTCATTAATTTCCTTTATTTATTTATCTAAATCATTTGTTTAAATTTAAAATAGAAAAAAAAAACACTTTAATTTTTATAATTCAATATTTTCTCACTTTTCTTATAAATTAAAGCTTCCCAAATATTTTGAATTTTATATAATTTTTTTTAAATAAACTCATGTAATACATGGGTCTCACACCTAGTTTATTATATAAGAGCTAATAACAACGTCAATGATATATTTAAAATATATATATTTATAAAGATTTCAAATATATTGTTGTATTCTGCACAACGCGCAAGTATTCACCTAGTATTGTATTAAGCAAGCTGAAAAAGTACTATTTCTAAAATTCAAAGAAAATCCAAGAAAAAAAGATGCCACAAGATAAATTAAAACCGAACTAAAAAAAAAAACACAATGCAGACTTTATAAATATTACAAAAGTTATAATCGAGTTCATTATGGAAAGGTATAATAATCTCTATTCAAAATTACAACTAATTAGATAAATCACCTCTAAATATCCTTAACTTCAATAAACTTTTTATCACACTATGATTTGAAAAAAAAAAAAAAGAGATCCAAACATCCATGGTATCTGGGTGACCTGCTGTTGAAAAAAAAAATTGGAATCACACTTCAACTGTTTCCACACATACGGTTATCGCCTCTATAACATCTACAAATTGTTGAAAGCATCATATCAAGTTACCTATAGAGGATGCAACAGCGAATAATCTTCAAGAAATTTTTGTTCTGTAACAGCATCATTTTCATTTGGTGGTGTCAAAAGCACCACCAGTGCCTGTAGTTTTACCAAATAGTTAGCACTTCCATCAAGAAAAAAAAATTATGATTTTTTAGCTAGAAAAAAAAAGGTGGCATAGGTCTCACCTTAACTCTGCTTGAAGGAATAGTAGCCAGTTTTATCAATGCTTCCTTTAATTTTGCACTGCTGTTTATAGTCGGCAGGTTATATCCACCTTCGGCAGCCACAATGATCGTAATCTATACGATTAATGGGAACATGACTTAATCTGGTAAGCTATGTATTATTGTTTCTTTTTGACTTAATGCAGAAAAAACAACTTAAGAGAGAAAGACGCCAAAAGTACTGACCACAATATACTCGTTACGGAAGTCTTTATATATTTGAGTTGTTGCATGTTGCTTTCCGATGTTGTTGATTTTGACTAGTGTCTCCACAGCAAATTTACCCCTTTCTTCGATACAAAGTTGATTAAATTGGTTCTCAACTTCGTCTATGCTCCTTTTCGTATACACCTAGAAAATTAAAATACCAAAATTCAAACATTCAATGTTCTAAAAAAGTAATTAATATTAACAATGCGCTTTCATGTTACATAATTGGTCTACAAATATAGTTTTGCTACATGGATGGTAAGGTGTTGTTTTTTTATTACTTGATGGGGATATGATATTTTTTTTTGACATAAACGAGCTTTAATGAGTCAAGCACTTAATCTCAATACACATACATAATTGTTTCGTTTTGACTTAAAATATGGACATGCCTTATTGGATTAAGCGGAAAAAAAAAAAAAAAAAAACTAGCTTAATGTATTATTAAGTCTCTAGCCATTGACCTAGATATTTGTCATTTTTCAATTTTCCTCTTAATCCTCCCATGATAAATTGATGAATATTGTGAATTTTGTTTTTTGGAATGGAAGAATAAAATGGCCATTTAATCTTTAATTGATTCGGTATGAAAAAGAAAATGACGTTATGTATACAACACTTAAGAATTTATATCTAGATAGACATCATTGTTCATTCAACCACTTTACACATAGGAATTTATGAGGAAAAAAGAAACCACCCTTAATCTGATGAACTATATATGAATGTTTCTTTTTTACTTAATCTAGAAAGAACAACGTTAAAAGAAAAAAAATAGGGAAAGGCGATAGAGAAGTGCATACTGAGGAATAACCAGAGATGCAAAAATCAGGATGTCGAAGTAGAGCTAGTGTTGTCTCTGCAACCAAAACCAAATCATTTTAAACATTAATTTAAAAAAAAAATCATACAACTAATAAAGACTCAAGATTAATAGAATGTTTGCCTTATTTTATGATAAATATAGCTCGACTTGAATTTGGTTCGAGTTCAACTCATTTATTAAACTTATTGAAAATCTCAATCTGACCCAATTATACGACATACCCATATAATTACATGAAAATGACCTATGTTCATTTATGAACATTGGTGATTTTCATGTTCATCTACAAACCTATGTTCATAAATGAACATGAATCATTTTCATATGGTTATGTAATATAATTTGATCACGTAAACATCATTCATTACCTTGTAATAAATAGCTCAAGCCTACGGAGCTCAAGCCCTCTGGGCTGTATCTATTAGCTGTTTTAGCAATCCGATTGAGATCCTTTTGCAGTGATCTACTCGTACCCGACAATCCAACCTTAAAAATACAACGTACAACAGTTACTCATTACAAAATTTGAATTTGTAATTGAGGTTATGGAGTAGATATAAGTAATTGTTGAAAGAGCATAATATACCTGAAGCTTCAGAATACTTTTTCTCTCTGTATTAAAAACCACTAAGCAGAAAGCCACCACAGTAAGAATGGAACCCAACGTCATCATGAAGGCGCCAAAACCTAAGTTATCTCCAACCGCTGACCCAACTCCACTGGATGCAGCCAATGCAGTGCAACCATGGGTATGATCGTTATCCTCCAGGCTTCCAATTCCCCCTATTACATTTTCCCCTTTAGGCTTAGGGCTCATAAAGAAGCATTCAACTCTCAATTTGGGGGAATATCTGATCATCTTGCAAGAAGAGTAGTCCAATTTGAAAGCGAAAGACAACTTGATTGGTAAAGAGCGAAGTGGAGGTGAACGGAACAGAAGGTTGAAATTGAAATTGGGTTGTAGTTGGAAAGCTACATTCGCCATGAGAGGGTGTCGTAGGGATTAGGATCTGATATGGGGGAATTTGGTGGTGGTGAAAGGATGAACTTTAACACTAAGTTCCTGAGTTCAAAAGAAAGACAGGAAAATAAATATTTTATTTGTTCCCAGGTTGAAAAGAAAGTTATAATCAATCTGTGTTGATCCAACCAACAATAGTATATTTAGCATGAATTCAATCAATTAAACCCATAAAACAAACTGAAAGTTGTAACTAGTTGCAATCATATGGGATGAACATAGTATTGAACTACTACTGAGTATTGATCATGAGAATTCATTAGTAACTTATCCAACACGATCACCAACGTTTTCTCAAAATTACCATTGAATGTTAACGTTTATATGTACTTAGTAGCACAATCAAAATGCGACTTATAAGAAAGAAAAAAAGAAGGAAGTTATTACCTCAGCAAGAAATCGATGGAACAGAGTAGAATTGGCTTTTAAGAAGCGAACAAAGGTTATAACTGACTCGTCTAAGTATAAAGAAGAATTAATAATGGAATATGCAACAACGTACCTGTGGCAGGGATGAAGGAGGCACAGTGGCTTGGAGGCTGGTGGTGGAGCGGAGAACAATGGCGAGGAAGAGAGGTTGCGCTATGCTGGCATGAGAAAGATACCTAAAGGGTAATTAGGTAAATGTTCAAGATTTAGATCAACGATAGATATATTTCTCTCCAAATTTCCACAATTTGGGATGAAAGATTTTCCTAAATCTTTTTTTTTTCTTTACAAAATAAAATGCCAAAGAACGTGATTTTCCTATTGCTTTCCAATTTCTTTTGCTCCTCTCGTTAAACTGAAATCGAGAATGCAACGTAATAGACCAAAACCGAGGGATGGGCTCTAGGGGCGGACACAAAAATGTCTAGCAGTAGTGACACCCAATTTTTTTTCCCAATCATATTGCTTTACTTTTGGACCTATAACTATAGTAGTTGCACATAATTTCTTTAGTAGTTGCATCCTAATACAAAAATAAATTTTCAATTTTTCTACCCTTCTAAGATGAAATCGAGTATTTGCCTGGACCACCCCGGGAACCCTTTATATCCACCACTGTAGTGGTTGATAAATTCAACAAAAATCAGACAACTGGTTTTTTATTATTATTATAAATGAAGTTTTTAATTTTTGTCTATAGTTTTCAGTTTTGTTATATCAACTTTTTAATATGATGGAGAAGGGACGCCCTCTTTTCTTTTCCGCACCAATCCTTATTTACTACTACATATTTTTTGGTGTGTATGTCTTTGGTAGAGCATTAAGCTTTTAACCTAATGGTCGCCAGTTCAAGCCTCAATATACCCAAACCTAACTTGCACTATAATACGAGTAAGGATGTCTAGTAGGGCAAAGATAACTCTTTTTTTTTTTTTTTTTTTTTTTCCTTTAGATGAGTGGCATTGTGCTGTCTTTGATTGGATAGAAACATTTACCTAAAGTATGCAGTGAAGGATCTATAATCAGTGAAGGATCTTGATATTATAGGTAGCCAACTTAGGTTACGGCAAGAAGGCTACAGTTAAAAACCATGGACATGTAAAGATAAAAAACTGTATCAAATAAAAATCTGTTAATTAAGATATTTTCATTCATTAATTATTTTTAAAAGCTTTTTCTATGTTACATATTTTACCTAAGGTTCAAGGCACATTTTAATATCGATATAGAAACTAGACTACAAAAAATTCTTCCCGAGGTGCTTTCTAGCTAACAGCTATAGGGTCAAAGGTGAATCATTCTCCAAGTAATTGTTTACCTAAGGTTCAAGGCACATTCATGAGGGGATAATTTCATACTAACTATGTATAACTAATATGAGGTATTTATTGTTGATACCATGTTAGATGTGATACCTTCGATGAGCTTTTCAAAGCTTCTTAGTGTTTTGAACTTTTAGCTTTTAAAAGCTCGAATTAATGAAAAAACCCCGTTCCAAGGTACAACTTTTAAGGTTATAGTTTTAATAAAATGATCTGAAAGCTATGTCAAATAGCTTTGAGGAACTTTTAACTTTTTGAAGTCTTTGACTTTTAACCTTTATTAATTTTGTTAAAATTGAGTAGAAAAAAGGATCATATTGGTAATCAAAATATGGATTTTTTTTATAAATCATGTATGTTGAAATTTTCATGATTAACATTTCGACCCTAATTCAAGAAATTTAATCTAGGATAATATATCAAAGCACTTACAAATCACGGACAAAAAGAGAACAAGTTTATAGAGTATATGGTGTGTTCAAAGAGAGCCAAAATATGGAGTGTGTCTTCTATTTATTCTCACAAAGTGGATATAAGGTTGATAAAATACAACTTTTTGGAAGTTGTCAATGACGAAGTTATGACTACTTAAAAAAAAAAAAATTAAAAAGTCAACAAACCCCGCAAACCATCATATCAGTAGATCTCAAGTCTGCGGATCAGTAGTTTGCACCAACCATACTAGCACCCAACAAAGTAGCAGATTCGTAGGTCAGTGGATCAGCAGTTAGAAATAGAGGGACCAATTGAGAATAAATACAAAATTACTTAACTATCCTTAACTTCAATAAAATGTATGTCTAACTATGATTTCAAAATAAACAGATCCAAATTGCAAAGATCCGTATATCTAGCTTTCTCATGGCAAATACTTCTTAAAAAAATAAAATTCAAGTCCCGAACAAGAGTGCCCTAAAAGCATGTAGCCACAAAATCTTATATCTTTTTCGTGTGCCTATATACCACATCACTGAAAAAATAGTCAAAAAGATTATATTAACGGTCCAAAATGTAGAGGTGCTTCAATCCCACATGTTTCAACCTTAGGGTGACATCCTGTTCAAAATAAAAATGAAAATATTCAGAATCACACTTTCGAGTATACAGTTACCATCACCTATAAAACATGTACAAATTGTTGAAATCATCAAAACAAGTTACCAAAAAAAAAGCGAATAATTTTCAAGAAACTTTCGTTCCATAAAAGTATCGTTTTCATTTTGTGGGGTCAAAAACACCACCACTGCCTGTAGATTTACCAAATAGTTTAGCACATCCAACAGTAAAAAAAAATCTGATTTCTTGGCTAAAAAAAATAAAGAATATGCATAGGTCCCACCTCAACACTATTCAAAGGGATAGTCGCCAGTTTTTGCAATGCTTCCTTTAATTCTGCACTGCTATTTATGGGAGGCAGTTTATGTTCGCCTTTAGCAGCCACAATGATTGTAATCTATACGGTTAAAGAGGACATGACTTAATATGGTAAGCTATATTGTAGTGTTTCTAATTGACTTAATGCAGAAAGAACAACTTGAGAGAGAAAGTTAAAGAAAGAAGACAAAAATACTGACAACAATATACTCTTTATGGAAGTCTTTATTTCTTCGATTTATTGTACGTTGCATTCTGATGTTGTTGACATTGACTAGAGTATCCACATCAAATTTACCCTTTTCTTCAATAGAAAGTTGATCAAATAGGTTCTCAACTCTCTAAGCTCCTCTCATTATACACCTAGCAAATTAAGAGCAAAATCCAAACATTCAATGTTCCAAATTAAAATGTAATAAATATTAACAATGCACTTTCGTGTTACATAATTGGTTTACAATATAGTATTGCTACATGGATACTAAGATGTTGTTTCTTTATTACTTAATGTACATAACGGGGATATGATTTCACTTGTAAGAATAAAAAGGTCATTTAATCTCGGTTGATTCGGTATGAAATAAAAACGACTTTATGTATACAAAAACTTGAGCACTTAATTATATCATTGACCTTCAACCACTTTACCCATGAACTTTATGGGGGAAAATACAACCTGTTAATCAGGTGCACTTTGTATGAGTGTTTCTTTTTTACTTAATCTAGAAAGAACAAGTAAAAAGAAAAAGATTGAGAAATGAGGCAGAGTCCATACACGTGAAGTTGATGCAGAGGAATAACCAGAGATGCAATATTCAGGATGCCGAAGTAGAGCTAGTGTTGTCTCTGCACCCAAAATCAAATCATTTTAAACATTAATAAAAAAATCATACAACTAATAAAGACTCACGATTAATAGAACAATGGGTTGACTTGGTTGGGTAGGGGTGAGCAAAAACCGAACCGCAAACCAAAAAAACCGAAAAAACCGCATAAATTGAAACCGAAAAACCGAAACCGAAATGAAAACCGATGGTGTGGTTTTTAGTTTTGCAAAAACCGAAAATACTCGGTGCGGTGCGGTTTCTAGTCTCGCAAAAACCGCAAAAAACCGAACCGCACCGCATATATATATATATATATATATATATATATATATATATATATATATATATATATATATATATATATATATATAAAGTGTTGATATTTGTAAGAACCAAGAACTTATGACAATTAAAATTTCTATAGATGTAAATATCTATCTTATCTATCGAAGGATAGTTGTATATATTTTAAGCATACATTCAATGATATTTACAATAACAAATAATGTTTATGATATTTTTTTAACATTTAAATATGAAGAGTACTAGTGATATAGTATCATTTTTATGAATACAATAATTGATATTATCGTATGTACTTGTGAAACAAATATTATATTAAATTTGCATTATATTGAAGCATAACTTATTGAATGAGTGGTTAAGTAATTTGATTTCAAACTAATAGGTTGTGGTATGGATTTATCTCCAATAAATGATTACCACTCTACATTTGAGTCAAAGTAACTCGCTGAGTTACTTGAGTTTTAGTTAAAAGGCAAAACAGGAAAAAAACCGCAAAAAAAAACCGAACTGCAAAAAACCGCAATGAAAAACTGCAAAAAACCGAACCGCATAAAACCGAACGGTGCAGTTTCTAAATTTCAAAAAACCGAAGTTGCGGTTTTCGGTTCGGTTTTGGTCAAAAACCGCACCAAACCGCACCATGCTCACCCCTATGGTTGGGTACGAGTTCTAACACATTTATTAAATATGTTGAAAATCTCAATCCAACCCAATTTTTTAATTAAATGGGTTGAGATTTCTAGCCTAACTAACCTAACCTGCAAAACAAATGAATTCACATCAGGTTGACCTATTTATTTTTTCCCAAACCAACTTATTAAATACAATGGTTGGACCTGTGTTGATCCATTTAAATTTTAAAATGTAAATAATACTAAAAGTCTAAAAATGAGTACACCTACTTAAATAAGTTATAAACAACCCAAAAAAATTTCAAAGTTTGAAGAGAATACAATTACATATACAAATAAAATTGGAAATGTTTAATTTCTTAGTAACTCTACTTCTGCTTTCCCCAACTCCACTTTAACTTTGGGCACGACTTGCATCTTAAGAAAAAAAAAATAATAATAATAATACAATCACAAATAAAGATAGATTGGTCGTGATTGAGGAGTGTATGAAACATGCTAGGTTGAGAAAATAGAATTATATTTGTTATTTGGGATATTAACTAAACTAACAATTATGACCAAGGTTGTTAACACAAATGACCAAAGTTTTTATGTTTTGAAAATATGACTGCTTTGTCCTAAATTGAATTTTTTTGTCCGAAAATAAACTTTTTTGTCAGTTCGGAATGGATAAACTGGTCATTTTTCTTAACAACCTTATTCAAAATTTGGTCATTTTTCTTAACAACCTTATTCATAATTTAGTTAGTTAATAATCCTTGCTTTTTTAGATATAAATAGTCATCATTTATAATTAAATAATAATATTTAACTAAATATAAAATAAAAAAATATATATAATTTAAAATGGATTGACGGGTGAAAACCAATTGAAAATTTCAACCAAATCCATTTAATTGAACGGGTTAGACGAGTCAAGAGTTAACCTAGGGGTGAACATTTGAACCTCTAGACCTGATAAACCTCAATAGGGTCCGGTCCAAAGTCCACCAGTTTTATCCAAACCGTTATGGATCAGTCCAAATACTCACCCCTACATCCAAGAACCGAGAACCAGACCTTGACAAGAAAAGTCTCAACAGGTCTTGTCCTAGGTCTACCAATTTCGCGACAAACCGGTCCGGTCCGGTCCAAATGGTCACCTCCTAAGTTAACCAATATAATTCAATGTAGTAAAAATCTCAACCCAACAAGATAATTTTTGTATGCTCTAATGATAAATAATGAGTGATATTTGTGATGCTTCTTATATCCAAATTGTATATATCATTTAAACATCATTCTTTACCTTGTAATATGCAGCTCAAATCCTCACGGTTCGTACGTAGATGCGTAGTATCATCTAAATCTGAAAAATCCGATTGAGATCCGTTATCGCACAATCCGATTGAGATCGGTTCGCACTATAACAGTTACTCATTACAGAATCAGCAATAAAGATGGATCAAATTTGAAACTTGAATTGAGGTTATATATGGCGTAGATATGATCATCAATTGTTGAAAGAGCATAATATAATACCGGAAGCTTAAGAACACTTATTTCATCGGTAATAGTAAGAAATCGGTAAGCCAGAACAGCAAGAATGGAACCCAATATCACCATGATCGTGCAAAAACCTAAGTCATGTTCAACCGCTGCCCTAACTCCAAACGCTGGCCCAACTCCACCGGAAGCAGCCAACGCAACGCAACCATGGTGATGATCGTAAAGCAATAACAAACCCAATAAAACTCTAGTTGTGACTTGTTTTTGTAAGGCATTCACGACATTTTTTATTGATCTCCAAAGCACTTCATTACACCCCTTGCTTTAAAATTGTTAACCTCCCGGATACTGTTTCCACCAATGCCATTTTCTCCTTTGGGCTTGGGGGTCATAAAGCATTTAGTTCTTATTTTGGGGTAATGTCTGATCATCTTGTAAGGAGTGTAGTTTGATTTGAAAGCATTATTGTCGCCAGATGAGAATGTGATTAGGGAAGAGCGAAGTGGGGGGAATAGAAGGTCTATTGGAGCAAAGGGTTGAGATTGAAAGTGGATACTAGCAGGAATGGTGTGTTCGCCATGAGAGGATGACTAATGCTGGTAGGCGGTGTAGGGATGAACTTTAATTAAACGAAAATTAGGGAGGCCCAAGGATTGGTTGTGCTTTACAAATGCTTTTTTTTTTTTTTTTCAAACACAAATCAACAACAAATTTTTTATTAATATAAATAATATATTTTTATTTTTTTTATTCACAAACCATCTACTATTCTACTTTAAATAATAAAAAAAAAGTTTATTTAACAATAAACTGCAAACAAATATTTATATATGGTATGTATATTAATTAGTAAGCTTATAATGTTTATATATAAATAATATATTAAATGTATATAAATTTTATATAATATTTAATTCGGTGCCAAAATAATGAAAATTAAAAATTTTAGGTTATACAAAGTGTATATATAAGCTATCCACGTGGAATAGGTGAAAATATAAAAACCCGGATAATAATATTCGAATTGAAAATAATTGTTCCATAAATAAATTGTTGAAATTTGATTTTGAAGAATAAGAATCAAAGAAGTTGATTTATTTATGGTGGAGGATATTGGGATATTGGGATTCAAAGAAAAAAAAAGTTATGGCCAAAAAGCAAAATGTGTGGAAGAGACCAGGAGAAATAACTGAGGAGGGTTTTGAGGGAGGTATTGGGGGTATCGTGGAGGATATTGGGATGGGTATGAATGAGTGTATTATTGTGGATATTGAGGGTAGTAGGATAGTCGTGTGGGTTGACCACCCAAACAAAGCACTCGACACATATCAGTCATAAGAGTATCCACGCGCTTGTTATATGTTTGTTGGTTCTCTCTAAAGGAGTATAATACTTCTCTCAACCCCACCATCTCATTATTCATTTCACAACCCTATCATAAAGATCAAAATAATCACGATGGAGGAGTCTATAGTCAGTATGCAATTACAAAAAATTCTTGCATGTACATATCACAGTAAGGACGCATGACAGGCTATTGGTGCACCGATGCAACAATATCAGGAGTAGAACAGGAATACGCTCATCTGCATCATACTCAGAATTAGACTCGGGCATTGCAACACCTAAATTGGATGTAAGTTGCCATCTCATGTCGGATAGTGGGTGAGTGAGAGCTAGAAGTTGGTGATTTCGACCATCAACACGTAGATACTCTACATCCTCAACCTACCCGTAAACATTGCACTCACCCTTCCAAAATATTTTGACCAATTAACAAAATAAGACGCAGGGGCGGAGCCAGTAGGGAGGCTAGTTGGTGTTATGCCCCCCTTAACTCCATTGGTATTAATGCATTATCAGTTAAAATCCCACATCTATATTTTTACAATGTATGTCTTAGCTCCCGCTAATCTAAAATTCTAGTTCCGCCCCTGATAAGACGAGATATTGGCTAAATTTGCGAAAATGGCTAAAAATGGTTATTCCGAGGTTTTAGACGGTAATCTGTCTTTTTTTTTTTGTAAATAAAAACTAATTTGGTATTAAACCGTAAACTAACACAAAATATTGAGATTTTATTGGAGATTTCCCAATAAGCAAAGCATCATCTATTCCGATATTAGTTTGTGTTTGATCAAAACTGTCTTGTTTCACCGCTTTGTAAACATTTTACCCGTGATGCTTAAATGTCGAGTTTCCGGTAGAGTTATAAAACTTGCTGATATTATTTGGAATGAGCTCCTCTTCATCTTTCATAATGTAAAATCATAATTACACCAAATAATTGGGTTTCGGAAACAAATGACGTTCCACGGTCCACCACCTCGGCATTCTTATAATTTTTTGTGGTTACGTTGGGATGTCATTTTCAGTTTTGAAATTGAGATTGTAAAAAAAAAAAAAAACTTTGAGAAAAGAGTTTTTTTTTTTTTTTTTTTTTTTTTTTTTTTTTTTTTTTTTTGCCGTGTGCTGAAATCTATTTAAACCAATTCTAGAGGGGCAAATAGGTTCAAATTACGGCTAATTTTGAGAATAGATATAAAATTACCTAACTATCCATAACTTCAATAAAATGTCTAGCCTTCTTAATTAAGGTAAATATTTCTTCTAAAAATGAAATTCAAGTACCAAAAAAGAAATTTTCTGAAAACCTGAAGCCAGAAAAGCTTATATATTTTTCTGGGGAAATGATTTAAAAGCCCAACAAAGTTTCCAAACCATTCAAAAAATCTCAATCATGTTTTGTCTATTCAAAAAAACCCAACGAACTTAACTTTTTGTCTAAAAAATCCAACAAAGTTCCAAACTGTTCAAAAAATCCCAATTTTGTTTTGTTTAAGTTCATTGAGGTTTTTTTTGAACACTCAAAACATGATTGAAGTTTTTTAAACGTTTTGGAAACTTTGTTGGTCTAACAAGTCATTTCCCGATACGGTAATAAGCCACGTCATCTAATTCTCTTATTTGACTTTCAGGAAAGTATAACTTAGTTGAGCTTTTTAGACAAAATGTTAAGTTCGTTGGATTTTTTTTTGGACAGAAAAAACACGATTGAGGTTTTTTGAATAATTTGAAAACTTTGTTGGGCTTGTAAATCATTTTCCCATATTTTTCTTATTGCTATATAATACCATACTCATGCAAAAATCGTCAAAAGATTTATATAACTTGGAATTTAAACACCCCAAATAAACAAGAGGTCCAGTGTTTGAATCTCACATGCTTTAATCTCGGGGTGACCTGCCGTTTAAAAAAAACATTTGGAATCACACATTCGCGTATACAATTATCATCATCGCCTATAAATAACATGTACAAATTGTTGAAAGCTTCATAACAGCTTATTACCTACAGAGGGCGCAACAACGAATAATCTTCAAGATATTCTTGTTTTGTAAGAGTGTCATTTTCATCTTGTGGGGTCCATAACACCTCAACAGCCTGCAAATCGATCAAATAGTTAGCACATCCAACATGAAAAAAAAAATTATGTTTTCGTGGCTAGAAAAAAAAAATGTTTTCTTCGCTAAAAAAAAAAAAAAAAAAAAAAAAGTGGAAATAGGTCCTACCTTAACGCTGCTTGAAGGGATAGTTGCCAGGTTTTGCAATGCTTCCTTCAATTTTGCACTGCTGTTTATGGGCGGCAGTTTATGTATGCCTCCAGCAGCAACAACAATTGTAATCTATATATACGGTTAATGAGAACAAAACTTAATCTGATAAGTTATATATAGTGTTTCTTCTTTTATTCAATGCAGACAGAATGACTTAAGAAAGTCAGTGAAAGAAGCCAAAAGCACTGACCACAATATACTCAGCATTGAAGTCATTAGATCTTTGAGTTGTTGCACTTTGCTTTCTGATGTTGTTCACGTTGACCAGAGTCTCCTCATCAAATTTACTCCTTTCGTCAATACAAAGTTGATTAAATAGTGTCTCAACATCCACGATGCTCCTCTTTGCATCCATCTAGCAAATTAGAAGACCAAAACCCAAACATTCAATGTTCCAAAAAAGTAATAAATAGTAACAATTCACTTTCATGTCACATAAATATTGTGTTTCTACATGGAAACTAAGGTGGTGTTTCTTTTTTACTTAATGTACTTAATGGGGATATGACTAATGGGTTTGTTTCTTTTAGACTTACTAAAATTAATGAGTTAAGCACTTAATCTAGAAAAATATACATGGTTGTTTCTTTGTTTGGACAACATGACTTAATGGGTTATTGGGTTAAGCCAAAAAACTTGGCTTAATATATTAAGACACTAAACATTTACTTATTTGACATTTTTCTTTTTTCCTGTCAGCTTGTCTCATGTTAAAATAGAAAAATATTGTGAACTTCGTTTTTTTAGGAGTTTTAGAATAAATTGATCTTTGTTACCCATACAAGACTTTATGAGGTAAGAAAAGAAACAACCCTTTAATATGGTCAACTATTTATGAGTGTTTCTTTTTTACTTAATCTAGAAAAAACAACTTAAGAAAAAGACAGGAAAATGAGAGTGTATTGCATACAGAGGAATAACCAGAGATGCAATAATCAGGATATCGTTGTAGAACTCGTGTTGTCTCTGCAACCAAAACGAAATCAGTAGATATAAACATCAATTACAAGATTATATGATTAGTAAAGGCTCAAAATTAATACAAGTTTTGCCTGATTAGATGATAGATAATGAGTTAAACAGTAATATTTTGTGGTGCTTCATATATCCAAAATTGTTTATAAATCATGTAAACATCATTCATTACCTTGTAATATATAGCTCAAGCCCTCAGGGCAGGATGTATCAGCTTTCTCAGCAATCCGATTGAGATCCTTTTGCATCGATCTAACATTACCCGACAATCCAACCTTCAAAATAAAACAAAGATAATAGTTACTCAGCTCGATCATTACCCAATCAGCAATAAAGAAGGATCAAAATTGAAATTGAAATTAGCATGGAGATCAGCAATCGTTGAAAGAGCATATCTATAATACCTGAAGCTTCAGAACACTTGTTTTCTGGGCAAGCAGAGGTCGTGGTAAGATTGCAGCAACAAAACCTACAGCAAGAAAAATCATTGCGCCTGCAATTATTGGATCAACTCTAACCGTTGGTTGAACTCCAACGGCTGGCTCAACTGCAACCGCTTGATCAACTCCAACCGCTGGCTCTACACCATCCTTGACTGGATTTGGAGACGAAGATGATGACTTATTTGGCCTTTTAGAAGAAGACGAAGGTGACGACTTCGGGATTTCATACGAAGATGAAGATTTTGGGCTTTCATATGAAGACGAAGACTTCGGGCTTTCATATGAAGATGACCAAGAAGAAGAATTCTTAGACGACCTGGAAGAAGAAGACGTCTCTGGTTTTGCAGAGGAAGACGACCAGGAAGAAGAAGAAGACGATGAGGAAGGCTTTGTAGATGAAGAAGACGACGAAGATGAATATGATGAAGACTTCGGGGTTGAAGATGATGACGATTTCGAGCTTTTATAAGAGGAAGATGAAGAAGAAGAAGAAGGATATGACGATTTCGATGGTGTAGACGAAGACGAGGAAGAAGAAACTGATGACTTGGTAGATGATGAAGAAAATGAGCTACCACCCATTCGCCCACCAGAAGCAGCAAGCGCAAACTGATGATCGTAAAGAAATAACAAACCCAATAAAACTCCAGTTATGGCGGGAAATTGTAAGGCCGTCAGGACATTTTTCATGCTAATAGCAACTGCTTTCAAATCGTTATCTTCTGGGCATGTGTTTCCACCGATTCCAGTTTCCCCTTTGGGCTTAGAGCTCATGAGGCATTTAATGCTCAACTTGGAGGAATATTTGATTCCCTTGTAAGGAGTGTAGTTCAGTTTGAAAGAATGATTATTTCCAGACGACAATATGGTTGGGAAAGAACGAAGTGGGGACAAACGGAAGGTCTGTTGGAGCAAAGGGTTGAAATTGAATCTGGTTTCTAGCAGGAAAGGTGTGTTCGCCATGAGGAGAGGAAGCGGGCGGATGTTGCAGAACAATCAGGAGTAGGATTTGAAATGGGAATTTGGTGGCGGCGGTGCTCGTTGCGAAGGGAGGAACGAAACAGGACGAAAATCAAGGTGGGCCCAAAAAGCCCTCGGTTGTGGATTTCTGGTTGACAAGTGATTTATTTTTAAATAAAAATTGGTCAACTTATTTTCATTAATATAAATAAGGATAATGATTTGAAAGGGTAACGAACTTTCGATTTTTATCATATTTAGTCACTAAACTATTTTTCGTTATCTATTTGCCATTGAACTATTGAAATTGTTCATATTTTACCCTTATGACCGGTTGTTACCGGTCATAAGGGTAAAATGTGAACAGTTTCAATAGTTTAGTGGCATATAGATAATGAAAAAAAGTTTAGTGACTAAATGTGAACAAAATCGAAAGTTTGTTTCCCTCTAAAAAGTTCAATAACTAAATGTGAACAAACTTCCTATTGTATTATGTTTTAGCAAAATTATTTATTTTTGTTTAATTGTAGCAACATTTGTTGATGAAGAAATCTATGAAATAAAAATACAAAATGTAACATCCGGATTTCCATGTATCATCATTTAAGTATTTTTCTTTTGAGTTAAGAAGAGAGACTCGACGAGTTGACGCCTCAACTCGTCGAGTAAGGTCGCGACTGGTGATTCAGATTAATGAATGGACTCAACGAGTCGGTGAGGCGACTCGACGAGTCCGCACTGTTGGCAGAAACCCTAAATCTTTGGGCTCGAGCCATATTTAAAGGCACTTATGGCCTTCAATTGCGACTACCTTTCCCATAAGTGCGAACCCTAGCGAGCTTGAGTGTGTAGAGTGAGAGGAAGAGCTATCTTGAGCTTTTTGGTGTGATAGATCTGGACCCTTCTAGGTTCAGAGAGCCGAGAATATGAAGCTTTAGTAGAGTAAACCTTGGGATTCAAAGTTAGGAAGCATTTATGGTATATATAGTTACTTCATCTTACACATAGATATGAAGTATTTTATATAAATTACGTACTATGTGTGCATATTATTTGAATACTTGTTGTCTATACTGGATGAACGATTTTATACATGTTTTAAAAGATTTAAACGGTATATTTATTTTATATCTACAAATATGTTGCGGATGAAACATGGGTAGATGAAATAGTTGGTGTGTGATGAAATAAAATGATGAGAGATAGGTAATGATAGAAAGGTGGTGATAATTAGGTAAATAGATGATGATGAATATGTGATGTAGGATGAAAGGAGATACCATAACCTTAACCAGCAATGTGGCGATGTAGTCATCTACCAGAGTATAGATGGCGACCACGGACTATTCTAGACAACCCAGTGGAAACACCAGCAAACCCATAACCTGTAGGTGATGAATTACGAGTTCAGGCGATGTTGTAACTACGTATTCATGTGATGATACTCTAACTCCTTACTATGAATTACGAGTTCTGACGATGTTGTAACTACATATTCATGGGATGTCACAAATTTCGCGTGCCAAACCAATGGTTATAATTCACATCAGTGAGAATGGTTCATTTTTTTGTAAAACCAAAATCAGATTGGAGATTTTGATTTTTTATTTTGGAAAATGTCAAACCATTGGTTTTTTATTTTGGCAACAGCCGGTCATAAGGGTAAAATGTGAACAGTTTCAATAGTTCAATGGCAAATAGATAACGAAAAAAGTTTAGTGACTAAATGTGACAAAAGTCGAAAGTTCGTTACCCTTTCAAGTCATTATCCCATATAAATAGTGTTTTAGAAATTATCAATGATATAAGTCATCAACAGTGGCGTATTCACATCAAAGTAAAGGGGCATCCCCAATAAGTAAAGGGGTATCCTGATAAAAAAAATCGCGTAATACACAATAAGAAAAAAAAATTCCGGAAAAAATTACATTACTAAATTTTTTTAAAGGGTATCCCGGAATACATGGTAGATCCGCCTATGATCGTCAAAAACCAATTTTTCTATAAGATGGTTTTATGTTTTGCAAAATTTTGATTGGACTATCCTATCAAAATGAACACATATTCAAATTTGTTGATGAGGTTTTGAGTGTGGAGTATACATTATAATTTAGAAAAATATTTCATACATGTTGTAAACATTATGTATTGCGTCTATGAGTTTTATGTAGAAAAATTTAATTATTTTGGAAATATTTGTAATAAAGTAAAAAAAGTTTTTTTGAACAGAAAAATCTTATTATTTTGGAAAAATCACATAATCTTTTATTTTCTGTTAAAAAAAATTCTTTAATTTAGGCAAAGTTATAAATAATCAGCATTTTTCTGTTAAAAAAATCACAACGTAATACAATCAATTCACAATCCAGTGCACAAAATTCACAACTAAATATAAAAAGTTCACAATTTAATGCACAAAAATTATACATTCACAACAATATTCTTAACTTAAAACTTACATATACCGTTACATCTATATGTTAATGTTTCTTTCAAAGTTTATTTACAAAAGTCTTCACAATTTAAATTTTACATACTTTATTCAAAATTAGATTAAATCAAATATGCATATAATGCTACTTTCATCTTATATTTCAGAAGCAAACAAATAATTAATAAAAAATTCACAGTTTAATACAATTATATCACAACTTAATACAATCAAAGCGTGGTTTAATAAAAAAACAATCACAGCTTAATATAATAATTTCAAAGTTTAATACAAAACATTATACTTCAAAGTCATATTCTCAACTTAAAACTTACATTTTAAGATTTTAATTCACAGTTTAATAAAGTAGTTTAGGTTTCTCATTCACGGTATTTGAAACTTAAAAACATGATTGATTTTTTTAAAGCATTTCATCAAATATCTCGTATGCACCAAACAAATTTGTAGTTTAATAAAGCATTTCAGAACTCTAATTCACAGTTTAATAAAACAGTTTAGAAATCTTATTCAAAGTATTCACAACTTAAAAACGTATTAATTCACTCCTTAAAAATCAAGATGCACAGCTTAAAAAAATCATATTATTTGACACAACATTAACATAATAAAACACATTCTAATTTAAATTCACAGTATAACTATAAAACAAAAACAGTAAATAACAATTTGATGTAAATATTATAACAAATAAGAAAACAAACATTGATTTATAACTTAACAAAATTAAAAACCATGATTAACAAAAATAAACAATAAATGGGATATTAAAACATTAAATTCACAGCTTAACAGAAGGCAAAAAAAAAAAAATCGACATACCTGATATGTTTAATTAGAGATCAGAGAGAAAGGGATGGAGGAGGTGGCGGTGCTGGAACATATCTAAGGCAGTGGAACTTCCATCAACCACTGTTATCACTGTTATAACTTCAAATTTATACATGAAATAGCATCACACAAAGTAGATCTAGAAAACTCGAACCAAATTCATCAGATCTAACCAGATCTAAACGTGATGTCGACAGTAGGAGGTTGTGGTGGACATCAGTGGTGGTAGCAATGGTGGAAACGAAGTTGATGGTGATGAAGGTGGTATCAGATCTGACCAAATCGCACCAGATCTGAGATGTTTTCTGTTTTAGAGAGGGAAAGTTAAGTTGAAACAACTTCGTGATTCGAGACTAGGTGGCGATTAATGGTGGATATGGATGTATTTTCATCAAATCTTATCAGATTTGTGTTTCCATTGGTGGTAGATTAACGACATGGAAGAAGAATTTGTGTTGACAGTGATGGATGAAAGTGGTGGTTATGCCGCACGCCGGAACTTATAAATCTAAAGGAAAAAATCATAGATCTGAAGACGAAAGTCGTAGATTTGAAGAAAAAATCATAGATCTGAAGTTAAAAAATCGTAGAACTGAAGCTGATGTTGTAGATCTGGAGCCAACCGGAGCTTGTGGATCTGATGGTTGTGGTTCACCGGTGGTAGGAGGCGGCAGTGGTTCGTCGGCGGTAGGAAGCGACGACACTACGGGGGTAGTGGCTGGTGGCAACCAGTGATAATGTTTGTTTGTTATTCAAGTTTGAGATTAGAGAGAAGATCTTCATATGAGAGTGTGTATAAATCAAAAATAATAAAAGATGAAAGTGACTTCTTAAGTTATAACTTAATAAAAAAGGTTCTTAACCTTTAGGTGTTTTCATTTGATCTTATATATATATATATATATATATATATATATATATATATATATATATATAATATATATATATATATATATATATATATATATATATGAGAAAAGTGAATATACCCTTAAGGGTATATAAGCTTAGGTACCCAAACACATAATATTATATCGTTTTGTATGATAGATATCCATTAAAATTGTCCAATGTTGTTATAATACAATTTATAATTTGATTTACTTCCAAGATTTTTATTAATTTCACTTTTGTCTCCCTCGTACATAAATTTCATTTTCAACTATTATATATATAGCCTACTAGGTTTTTGGCAAAAAGATGTGATGTAAAGAAAGATATAGTGAAATTTCGAAAATCTTAATTGTAAATCAAGTTAGGAATTGAAGTTAAAGAGAATTATAATGAATATATCAAACAAAACAACGTATTATGGTGGGTTTAGGTACCTAAGCTTATGTATCCTTAAGGGTATATTCATTTTTCCATATATATATATATATATATATATATATATATATATATATATATATATATATATATATATATATATATATATATATATATATATATATATATATATATATTGAATATTACTTTGGGGAAAAGTGAATAGATGTAATTAGGGAAAAAAAAAAAAATAAGAAATTATGTTAAAAAGCGTATTCACTAAACGAGTAAAATTGATGGATTAAAAAGCTTGTTCACAAAACGAAAACTAGATCAACATAATCCGATTTTGGTACTACAAAGTATTAAATTCAACAAAAATTGGTGTATTCATCGAAGTAAAGTAGAATGCTACTCAAATTTATCTGGAACATATCTTTGCAGCAATTCTTCAAAGTCAGTTGTGTCTCTGTATAATCATGATCCATGTTTATAGTAACCTTATACAAGAATCTCGATTTCTCTAATGATAACTAAGATAACACACAGGAACAAAATTCAGGGATACTGAAGCATGGAGACGACGATCTTCAGTTTATTATCTTTAATGACGGATGAGATAACTTTTTTCATATTAGAATAGCTTATATTATGGAAATAATCAAAATTGAGATTACCATGCTACTCCTACCGTTAATATACAAAAGTTACAACTTGATGACAATACTTTCACAAATTTAAATAAATAGCATACTGATAGTAACACAAATTTAAATAAATAGCATACTGACAGTAGCACAAATTTAAATAAATAGCATACTGATATTAGCCTTAGAACAATATTATCGGAGGGTTCAAATCTGTCCTCATGTTGTCAACCTTTTTGGTTATCTGATTATAATCTTATTCTGATATTGAAAATACACAAATAAACTTCAAGTCCCAAACAAGAAAGCTCTATAAGCAGGTAGCCACAAACGCTTATATCTTTTTCTTGTTGCTATATAAAATATACCATATCATCACTGCAAAAATTGTTAAAAATCATTTCAAACTGATACGATTGGAATCACACATTCGCGTATACAGTTATCATATATCATCGCCTATAAATAACATACAAAAATTGTTGAAAACATCATAACAGCTTATTACCTACAGAGGATGCAACATCCAATAATCTTCAATATATTCTTGTTGTGTAAGAGTATCATTTTCCATTTGTGGGGTCCATAACACCTCCACTGCCTATAAATTGACAAAATAGTTAGCATACCCAACACAAAATAAATAAATAAATAAATAAATAAAAATTCTAGGCAAGAATAATCTATTGGTCTCACCATAATTCTGGTTGAAGGGATAGATGCTATCTTTTGCAATGCTTCTTTTAATTGTGCACTACTGTTTATAGGCGGCAGTTTATGTTCGCCACCGGCTGCCACAACGATTGTAATCTTCAACCACCAAATACATGTTTTTAGTTAACAAATGATATACATTACTGCTTCTTTGACTTAATGCAGAAATAAACGTGTTGATAGGGAAAGTGTTTAGCTTGGGAATGAATGGAAAAATCTGAATAAAAAGAGAAAAAGAAACACTTTTCAAAAGTACTGACCACAATATACTCATTACGGAATCCATTAGATCTTTTGCTTCTTGCACTTTGCTTTCTGATATTGTTCACATTGACTAGTGTCTCTTCATTAAATTTACCCCTTTCTTCAATAGAAAATTGATTAAATATTTTCTCAACTTCCTCTATGCTCCACTTTTCATCCACCTGGACCAAATTAATAAACCAAATCCCAAACATTTAATAAACGATGTTTGTTAGTCTATGAATATAGGTTCGATATAAAGTTGATTAAATATTTTCTCAACTTCCGGTATGAAAACAAAGTTTCAAAAAAAGTATTTGGATTAGCTTATACAATATCAAAATGTAATAAGCTGATAAGTTGTTTTTTAATGTTTGGCAATTTCGGTTTATAGACGTAAAATGACCAATATGGGTCAAATAACTATTTTTAATTTTAATTTACCCAAACTAAAAACGGTTTATTAGTGATGTAAAACTCCAATAAGCTAATAAGCACTTTGAAAAAACGATCCCATACACCCCCTTAATCCAAAAAGAACTACTTAATATTAAAAGTTAAAACAAGAAAATGAGATAGTAAAGTGCATACAAATGAATAACCAGAGATGCAATAATCAGGATGTCGAAGTAGAGCTAGTGTTGTCTCTGCAAACAAAACAAATTCACTTTAAACATCAATCACAAGATCATATGACTAGTTAAGACTCAAGATTTATAAATGTTTTTGCATGATTAGATGATAGATAATGATAGATATCGATGGTGCTTCACATATCCAAAATGTATATATAACGTGTAAACATTATTCATTACCTTGTAATATATAGCTCAAGCCCCAAGGGCTGGATGTATCAGCGGTCTCGGCAATCCGATTGAGATCCCTTTGTAGTGATTTAGCCGTGCCCAATAATCCAACCTTAAAAAACACAAAGTATAATAATATTTACTCATCACCGAATAAGCAATAAAAATCGATCATTTTTTAAATGTGAATGCTAAAATTCAGACGACATTATAAATTTGGACAACATTATAAAATTCGAATGACTATATAAAACATAACAAAAACAAAGTTTGTATAGTGCATTATGCAGATTAAAATCATTTAGTTGAGCAATTGTATACCCATGCTACCAAATATTCTAATTTGTATGTACGGAAAAGTCTGGACAAAACATTAGGCATTGGATACACTCCTTGTAAATCAGTCATTACATAATGGTTAGGGTGAATTGCAATTTATCAATAGATGATAATTGTATTGGTTTGTTTTTAAAATAAAAACAAATTTTGCTTTTGTTCCATTTTATATATCGGTTCGAATTTTATAATGTCATCCGAATTTATAATGTTGTACGAATTTTAAAATGTCATACGAATTTTATATTGTTATCGAATTCTATATTGGTTAAGGAGATACTTATAGTACAACCCAGTATACACGGCGAAGATACCTGCAGCTTGAGAACACTTGTTTTCTCGGCAGGCGGAGTAGGTGACCTTGAGGATCTTCCATCCGTTTGAGTCGCCATAGCCGAATATACAGCAAACAAAATCATTATAAAAAAGAATAAGAGTATTGGAATGTCATCAACTCCAACCTCTGGCCTACTACAACCACCTTCAAAAGACGTTGAAGACGAATAATAAGTATCTGACGTTTTCCGCCTTTTAGACGAATAAGAATAATCTGACGAAGGCCTTGTAGACGAAGAATAGGAAGAATCTGACGACTTCGGCCTTGTAAAAGAAGACGACCAATTAGAATAATCTGAGGATGACGGCCATGTAGACGAAGAATAAGAAGAATCCGACGAAGATGGCCGTGTAGATGAAGAAGAAGAAGAAGACGACCAATAAGAAGAATCTGACGACGAAGAAGAAAATGAGCTCCCACCCATTCGCCCACCGGAAGCAGCCAAAGCAACGCAGCCATGTTGACGATTGTACAAGATTAACAAACCCAATAAAACCCCCGTTACGACGGGAAATTGTAAGGCCTTCTGGACATTTTTTATTGATCTCCAAAACACTTCATTAGCAACCGCTTTAATATCGTTATCCTGTCGACATGGATTTCCACCAATGCCATATTCCCCTTTGGGCTTAGGGCTCATAAAGAAACATTTAATTTTCAGTTTCGAGGAATACCTGATCACCTTGTAAGGAGAGTAGTTCAACTTTAAAACATTATTATTGCCAGACAACAATTTGATTGGGAAAGACCGAAGTGGGGGCAAAGGTAACGTCTGTTGGAGCGAAGGGTTGAAACTGAACCTGGTTTCTAGAAGCAAAGGTGTGTCCGCCATAGAGGAAGTCGGATATTGTTGCAGAACGATCAAGAGTAGGATTTGAGATGGGAATTTGGCGGCGGCCGTGGTCGACTGGTCGTTGTTATTTCTTTTCAAACAGAAATCCTTCGATTTAATTTTTATTAATACAAAGGGTTTTCTAATATATGCCCTAACTGCGTCTATAAGAAATAATAATTATGGTAATTTGTTTTATTAGAGCTAGGATTCGATATTAAATAACAAACTGTTTATTCTTTTCCATATATACCTTCCTATTATGGGCCCTAATGGCTAATTCTTACACTGCATGATTTTATCCTTCGATTGAAAAAAAGTATATGAAAACTTAGACATGTTTGATAGTTGATGACTGAGAAAGTGTTGAAATGTCTGTTTAGGTAACAAATCCTGACTGAGTAAGAAATCATGTTGTTTGATTGTACATCTGACTGACTGGATGTGCTGATTGATAAAAAATGACCATTTGACCCTCGTTCTAAACCAACATGCTAAAACATTAATATTTAAAGTAATTTATCATAACTTTTATCATGATCAAGAGCAAATTTAAACATAAAACAATTTTCTACTAGTGAAATCAACATCATCCTAAATAATAATAGCACAATTAAGGTCAACATTGGCAACATATATCCGAACAATATTCAAAGATTACACTAACCAAATCTACCCTAATAAAAGAAAATAACATTGCCACATGTCATCACCTTATTTAATATGCCACATGGCATTTAATCTATTTTTCCAATTACTTTTAATTCCACTTGGCAAATTCTAATTTTTTTGCTCACATAAAAGCTCACATAATTTTTGCAAGGGAGGCATTAATTTCAAATAAACCTTCTTAAATAACATTAACACAATTCTGTCAATTCCTTCTTAAATAACATTAACACAATTCTGTCAATTACAAATATCCATTGGTCGTGTTTGGTGAGTAAGCAAGTCAAGTGACAAGTCTATGTATTTACACGAAAAACAAGTTATTCAAGTTGTTGCTCCATTGCAATAGTGAACACCATTTCCATTTTCATTTCCAGATACCAATTTCCCTTTACCTTTCTGTTTCACATGTAACTGTTTCAACCCCCATATACGTATTGATCGATCATCACTTGTTGATGCCAACATATGTGGATTTGCAGGATTCCAACTGATGCAGTTAACTGCCCCTGAATGCCCTTCCAATGTCTCAATCAACTCCCCTGATCCCCTGTGCCATATATAAACCTACATCCATTTTTTTTTTAAAATCATACATTACTTTATTTCTCAACATCTTTATAAATCAATCTATATCTATAAGTTTATATATATATGTATGTATATACATACCTGAGAATCTTCACTCCCGCTAGCAATGAATGACTGATCGAGTCCACTAAAGCAAGCCCTAACAATAAACTGATAACGTCTATGCCCCTTATACTTTGCAACAAGACGGATATGCCCCTGGATGTTCCAAAGATGTAACTCTTCATTCACGAGACTAACAAGAAGATACTTATTGTCTTTTGATAATGTGAATGAAACTATCATCTGATCCTCCTCGATGCATCTTTACAAAAACATTGCCACATGTCATCACCTTATTCACTATGCCACATGGCATTTAATCTATTTTTCCAATTACCTTTAATTCCACTTGGCAAATTCTAATTTTTTTGCTTTTAAATTAAAAAATCCGTATTATAATTACAATATATGAATTTCTCTGAATTTAAAGAAATTCAATACCTACTTAAAAGCTCACGTAATTTTTGCAAGGGAGGCATTAATTTCAAATAAACCTTCTTAAATAACATTAACAGAATTCTGTCATTTCCTTTTAAAATAACGTTAATTGGGAGAAACTTTTCAAACTTTCCTTCACTCATGTAATTCTTGCAAGGAATGTTTCAAAATTTGACATCCTTTCCAAAAATCATTTTTATAAATTACTGCAAAACGTATAACTCAATTGTATTCATCTGTTAACATTGTCTCTTGCAGTGCTGACTTTACAGAATCGTCTTCTTTTCAATCACAGAGTTCAATCCATTCAGTAAGTTTAAAAAAAAAAAACTACTTTTAAATTGTTTGTCTATCTTTTATTTCTTCTTGTGTTTTTTTTAATGTGTGTGTTGTTTTTTTAACATCTTCTCAATGTGTATGCGTGTGTGTGCGTTAACTGTTTTCCATCCTAACTCCTTGCTGTCAACCTTGGGATTCAAAATTGAAACCATTTACAGCAACATAATTAAAAAAAATTAATAGTTAACTGTTTATGTTCATCTGTGTTTGTGTTTAACTGTTTATGTTCCTAATTCAATCCAATATAAAACGCATGATTCTGACTTTTGAGTTTTCATTCCATGTATCAAAATGTGGTAGATGAAAACAGGGGCATTAAAACATATGATTAAATGTCTGTAACTCTCTATGTATAAGTTTTTTATTTTAAAAAAATTTCTTTTGATAGGGTTTTATTATGGTTTTGGTCATTTAAGTTAACAACTTAAGTTTAAATCTGCCAAGTCATAAATGTCTATTTTACCCTTCATTATATATTTTTTAATAGTGCCTATTGTTAATCATGATTATTATCCAATGAACCCTGCCTACACCCATCTCTTCCTCAACAAAATGCCCCACCATCCACCTCGTATGCTATTGTTTTTTTAATATAGAATGATTTATAAAAAAAAAAAAAATCGGCTTCAATACTGCAAGTGTAAGAATAAAAGAAATGCTAATGCCATTTAAAAATATAATATTTCTTATAACCCATCAAAACATGCATGATCATATAAATTGGACATTAAAAAGTTCCAGGGGAAAAATTGTAAAATCTCTTAGCTATCTATCAATTCAAAGACTATTTTCCACGAAAATTAACTTGTGAATTGGTACCTATTGTTACTTTGTTTGATTACCCATAGCAGATAACAAACTGAGTTCCAGGGTCAAAAACGTCATTTTTAAACTAAATGTGAATTTGCATACAGTCAATCTACTTACAATTCAAAAAAAACATATAAATATTCTTCATAACTCCAGTCATTTCATTACCCATAGCAGATAACAAACTGAATGCCTCTTAGAATCATGATAACATCATTGTTGTTACAAGTGTTATTAGGAAAAAAAAAAAAAAAAAAAAAACTACAAATAAGGTATGCTTTAAAATTATGTGTTTCTAACATCATTTTCACCTCCTCATTTTTTTGTTGTTAATCTTTTACTATATTCATTAGGAAATTTACAATTTACAGTTTTTGTTTTCCTAAGCATTGCTGCAGAACCTACTTTGGTTTTCTGTTTTTCTATTATCATTTTGTTTTTAACATGATTTGGGCATTGCTGTAGAACTGACTTTGTTTTACTATTATCACTATTATTGTTGATTTTTTTTTATGTTTTAATGTTGATTGATTAAAGTGAAAAATACTAATACTTTTTTCTGTCCCCAACTATTTATGATTTTTCTATGAGCAAGGGGCAAAAATGTTATTTTTACAAATCTGTTGGCTATTTAACACGTCTGGTCCATATTGACCTAAATGTCTATTTGCATATCTTCAATCTGCAGAACCGACTTTGTTCTACTGTTTTATGTAAAAAAAAATATTAAAATTCCATTTTATAACAACTTCAAATAAAGTAACTCTCCTCGGAAGATACCGAATACAATTTTTTCCCCTGTAATACGGTGAGCATGATGAACATCGTATGTTTTGATTATAGTTGTGGGACACTTCTGGTATCTTCGGATTACTCGCGCTATTGCACAACTCTTGTCTCGGTCCATATTAACCTAAATGTCTATTTGCATATCTTCAACCTAAATGTTTTGTCATTTATGCAATTAAAATGTTGTTTTCTTATGTTCATTACTACATTCTTGCATAGATTAATGGAAAACAGGAAGATTAGCATGATAAGTGAGTTGGCTCTCTCACAAGATGACTATACCATTAAGGTCCGTGTCATCCGTTTGTGGAGACAAACTTCATGGAATCAACAACTTCGTATGATTGGCATGATATTGATGGATGAAATGGTATGTTATAACTTACGTATGTTAACTTACAATTATATGTATGTGTATTATAACTTACATATCTTATATATCATTACATTTATTGTATGCTTATTAATTAATATTTGATTTTTTATCTTAAGGGCTCAAAAATTGAATGTAATGTGGACAAACCATTTGCATCGCTCCAAGGAAAATCTCTTGAAGAATATGGTGATTACTACATTCATAAACCCACATTAGGGTTAAATGAAGGTGCTATAAAGTTTGTCGACGGTCCACACAAACTCTATTTCCAGTATACCACGAAGGTAACCAAATGCATAGATTTTTGCGGGCCACAAAATTCTTTTGATTTTGCAGACTTCCAACAACTTCATCATAATGCAATAAACCCAAAAATTTCATTTGGTTAGTGCATTTCCTTTCAACCCATTACTAATGGAATAAAACATTTAAATTTCATTATTTGCACCACAAAAAAAACATACTTACATTTTTCCTTTTCGTATAATATAGATGTTATTGGAAACGTTTTCCGGTGTTTTCCATTGGAACCTGCAAAGGATAGACAGGAAAAGAAAATCACATTCAAAATGGAGGATTTAGAGTGGGTTTTATTTTTTATACCTATAATTACTCTTTTTATTATATATTTTTTTAGTAATTTTCATCATTTTTTACAGAGGACATGAAGTTTTTGTTACCCTATGAGGAAGGTATGCTGATGAAATTAATGCATATGTCTCTAAGAATACTGGTCATTTTGTATTGCTTATTCAATGTGCTAAGTTGAAGCTTGTCCGAGGTACTTACTTAGTAAATTGTTAATTTCTAATATTTATATTAATAATATATCTATGATATGAATTTGTTAACATGTGGAAAATTATTAAATTTCATTTTCAGATCGTCCTTATGTCAATAACACCTACTTGGCCACAAAACTTTATATTGAAGATGACATTGAGGAGATAACAACTTTCAAAAAAAGGTTATGTCAATTTTCTACATGATTTCTCATTACGTTTTAATGTTTCAATAATATAGAGTTATACTATCTAACATTAATTATCTTAATTAGTTTACAAGCAAAAAAAGGCTCTTTGACTTCCTCGGATTCACGTACCTCGGGTTCATCCATCATGTATTCACTACATTATGACTTTCTTCAAAAAAACTCTTTTCACCAAATATCCGCTATTCACGAATTGAACGTGGTATATGAATTATTCTTTTTTTATTTACTTAATTCAACACTTAAATATTTAATACACCTAATGTCATAGGGAGGTTGTGCGGTAATTCTTGGCACAATAAAGATGTTTGAAGATACACGGAACTGGTATTATAATGCTTGCACACATTGCAAGTCAAAGGTTCAAATAGTTAATGTTTCAGATGAGACAGTCAATGGCTTGGACCAGTTAGAAGAGAAGGAGATTATGGTTTGTACAAATGAAAAGTGCAAGGACAAACTTATTACTGCTGAACCAAGGTGTGTAATACATATTAACTTAGTATATTATTCTAAAATATTATTATATTTAACTTGCACTTTTAAAATTTTTATGTGTTTTTTTTAGTTTTATGATCAAGGTTCGAGTTCAAGGTTTAGTTGGTGTTGTGAGTCTTACGATCTTTGATCGTGAAGTTAGAAATATTCTGAAACTATCTGCTGCTGATTTATTATCAAAATATGAAAAGGTATATGTTTCTTATATGCAATACCATCTTGCTAAATACAACTTAATTTTCACATATTCTTTTAATTGTTATTATTTATTAATATATTTTTGTAGTTTGGCAATACAACTCAGTTTCCTATTGAGTTGAATGCCATGATCGACAAAAAATTGGCTTTCAAGATTGTTGTCAAGACATTTAATGTTTCAAGATTTGGTCGTTCTTACAACATTTCCAAAATAACGGATAATGTTGACATTATTTCTGCTTTGGAGAAAATTGAGAAAAAGAGTAGGATTGAACAGGTAAAAATACACCAATTTAATTAATTTAAAACATACAAATTTTGAAAATACTATTTTCTGGATTCCTTAACCCGACATACTGTTTTATTTTATCATTAAATTTATAGGACATGGATACTGAATCTGTTAATATAATTGGCTCAGAATTTGCATCTCAGGAAACAGTGGGTTGTAAGGTAAACTACATTACAACATCATTTACTCATATATCTTATCCTTTATATTACTAAAAAAACATTATTTGTTTTTTTATATAAGGATGCTACTTCCCACACTGCTGATAATACTCCTGTGTCGAATATTCCATCTGGCATATCATCAAGAACAGTCAACAACCTAAATTCACCGCCTACAAGTGCCAAACGTAAACTTGTAGATGTTTACGATCTTGATGATGACGTTTATGAATCAGCAACGAAACCTAATGCACCCCGTACTGGAGATGGCAAAGTTGTTGGAACAACAAAATTGTTGATTCCTAAAGTTGAAAAATGATCTTGTTTATGAAGACAATAACTTCGATCTTTCTTTGCTACTTTATGCTATTTTCTTAGACATTTTTTTTAATATTCGGCACGTTTACTTGCATTTTATTTGGGATTTTAATTTTTAGTGTTTGGTACACTATGAATATTCATTCGTGTTAGGTTTTACTTTTTTTTTATTATAAGCAACTTGGATTTGACTCTTTATGCGATCATTATATTGCACTTTATATTTGGACATTACATTCATATTTTCTTCATAATCGTCTTTTATATTTCGGTTATTAAAGGCATTTTTATTAGTAGTCTCTTTCACATCCTACAACAAAATTTAACCGGTCATCCAACTACAAAGAATTTTTTACTCTTATTATTGGATATATATTTAAGTCTCCACAACTTCCTTTTACAATCCATTATTCTTATACGTAATTTCACTTGATGTATAACTCATTTTATGCTACATTTTAAATCTCATAATTTGCATAGTCAATTTTTGTTATTTATATCAAATACTACCTTAAAACTCGTGTTTTACACAGTTAGACAACTTAAAATTTCAAAAGTAGAAATTTCGTATAATGTTATAAATAACAAAAATCTATACACCATTATAGCCACTATAAGTGATAAAATAATAATTTTATAAATAACAATAATATAGTCGTGTATTACAATTTTCCAAAACTTTTAATTGTGGCATGATGCAAAAGAAATTTACAATAAAAAAGGAAGATATTTGTTTTCATGGATTTTAATTTTTCTATCTTTATATAGTAGCTTAATTTATGGAATCCTCATTTACGTTTTTTTTTTCAATTTGATTTTATAATGTAAGAAGTTAGTGCCTAATATGCAGGAATTACTATTAGAATGACAGAGCAATTATAATCATGAAAAAATTTGGTCAGCAGTTTCAATATCAATATCACGCTAACTTGGGAAACATTTCAAAGATTGATTCATGACAGCTAAAATTTTGGATTACTCTATAATTTCAAACCAAACTTTGATATCCTTTCCAAAAATAATTATTATAAATTACTTATTATGTCTAACTCATTCTAATTCTTCTGATTTCACTGTCTCTTGAAATATTGAGTTTATTACAACATCCTGTTCCAAATTTTTGCATCATCACAGTGCAAAATCGTGTTTTCAATCACAATCACAGAGTTCAATCATTTCTGTAAGTTTATAAAAAACTACTTTCAAATTTTTTTGTTTATCTTTTGTTTCTTTTTGTGTTTTTTTTTAATGTGTGTTGTTTTTTTACATCAGTTTATGTTTATCAATGTGTATGTGTGTGTACCTGCTTAACAGTTTTTATGTTCCTGTGTGTCCAACTTGATGATGAATTGCAGAACATTACAACTGACCATTCTTTGATAATGAACTACTATACCCTATTTTCCATCCTAAGTCCTTGCTTTCAACATTGGGATTCAAACCTGAAACCATTTACAACAATCTAATTAAAAAAAAATAATTAATTGTTATGCATCTTTCTTTTCAACTTTGTTGTTTGATGTGTTTTCCTACTTATTTGAAAGTGGTTATATTTGGTTTGTGTGATGGAATGGAAACAGGAAAAATAATGAAATGATCTATTATCACTATTATTGTGACTTTTTATTGTTTTGATGTTCATTAATGAAATTGAAAAATACTAATACTTTTTGTTGTGCCCAACTATTTATGATTGATGTATGACCAAGGGTCCAAAACTTTATTCATTCATTCAGTATAACTTAATTCAGTGGCTTAGGGAAAGCCCTTTGTAGTGTTAAAACTCAACATTTATACCAGTATCAAATTATCAATTCCCAGCATGTTATTCATTCAGTATAACTTAAGTCAGTGGCTTAGGGAAAGCCCCAAAAGAACGTGAAAAAAAAATGTATGCTAACTGGAATGAAGCTTCAACTGTATCTACAAATGATTTCAAGTTAAAGAAAGCTGTATACTTCTATTTGAGTTGATGTGATCCTATATTACTATGTGGTTCCATTTGGAGTTATGGCTCTTTGAAGCTCCTCCAACTATTCATACTTGATGGGATTATGTTTTAGGAGTTGCACCAAACAAAATCTAAGTTTACAACTCCAAATTCCTTCAGAAGACTGGTCATATACACTTTAACAATAGAATGAATCCCAAATCCTCGAAGACAATTACTAAATCACTGAAATTATAATAATAAACACTCACATGATATCGAAAACGCTGCCATCCTCAGTGCACACTGCGTCCTCGAATGGAGTAAATGTGAGGCTGCAGATTTCATGAGTGATGTAGTCAATCTTCAACTCGCATATGTAGAGGTCAGAAATTTGAAATAAAAGAGAAAGATGAAGAAAGTGAGTACGCGCAGCAATAGACTGGAAGACGTTTAAAAGGTGTGCGGAGTTCTTTCGACTTAGCGCCGCCCCACTCGGTGGCCCACTCCGTCTTCGTAAGGTACATCCGGTCTTTGCTGTGTTGTTTCTTCCCCATCTTTCTTCAAAATTTCTGAATTTGGAGCAAATTAGGGTTTACAGGAGAGTTCGCCGAGAGTAATAAGTGTATTTGTGCAAATAGATCCCTGTATTCTATTTCTTTCTTATCCCCACCAATGGAAAAACGACGTCGGAAATCGCGGCTCCTGGATCTGATACGGTGGTTGTTAATAAAAATCAAGAATCGGCTTAATTCTGCGGTGGTGGTCTGAAGTCTAAACCACAGAAAGAGCTAATTTAGTAATTTTTAAGAATTTGTAAAAATATTATTTGTTATGGGCTTCTTGTGGTCTACCTCCTTCTGATATCAGCCCATGTATTAAGGCCCACTAATTATGAATAGTAAAAGAAATTAGATTAATTAAAATATGTGAATTTTATTACACAGGGGAATTGAGATAATATGGTTTATTTGGTACAAAATAAATGAATAATGAGATAAGGGAGATAACAGATTTGATCATTATACTGTAATAGAATTAAGTAAAATTTATAGAATCATAGGACCATTTCTAAATATTTTGTACATACATTTAGACTAATAGGAAACAAAATAGTGAACATCACATACTACTTCAATCTACTTCCAGTTAAAAAAAAATACATATAAATATACTTGCTAACTTCAGTGGTTTCATTAAGCATAGCATGTTAGAAGACAAAACAATCTTGCTTAACTTTTTTAATGAATCGTATATCCATTTTACTCATAAGTTTCTAACATGATTTGTAGTAATCATTATGCTTTCGAAAATTATGATGCTTTATATTGACTCTATATTTGCAATAGAATAAAGTCCATTAAAAATATTAATTATAATTTTTAGAACTTAGAAAAATGAAACACAATAAGTTTAGCATAAGGGTATTTTTGTCATTTTCAACGAATCTTTCGGTATCTTTGTCTTATTAATCTCTTAATCTCTTGTGCTGACTCTTATATTAAACCAGGTCAAAAATCAACATTCTAGCAAGAAATTTAACGGCCTCATCTAAAAAACGGGTTTTCCTTCTCTTTTCTTATTTTTATTATTTATGAAATGCTTCCTTTATTTGTTATATCAAAATGAATATAAATTTTGTTGATGCAACTATTAATATATATGCTTTTGTATATTTTCCTAAATCTTTTAAAATTAATTTTTTTGATAAAAATCTTGTTTTAATTGTTATGTTAATATACACTTCTTTGTTGGAACTCTTGATTTTTATTAATGTAAAGTATACAATTCTTAAATATTACCAACTTTTAACTACTATATGTTAATTGTATTAATGTTTTCGTTTATTATAATTTTTCAATTTTAAATTTTAATGAAATTATTGTCAATATACTTTTTATTACATAATTCTTTTTGTTCTTAAGCTACAAACACGATATGGATTCAAACGAACATAAACAAAGGCGCAGATATAGAAAATTATATTTGGATCAACGAAGATCCAATGTTATGTCCAACTTGTCATTTGGTAATTCTTTATCTACATCTCAATTTACTTTCATATTCAGTAATGTTTTATATCTAACGGCTGTTGAACAAATATTGTTTTATATCTTTTGACGTTTTATCTGATATAATCATTGCATTTTCTAATTAGTCATTCTTATTATTATATATTCAATGTAGGTTACTCTCGGCAACATTTATCATCTACAAACAATTTTACACATATTCGCGATGACAATGAAAATTTGAATCCAAATATATCATCCGCATTTCAACATACAAGTTTCGCTGCTGCTTCAACTTTTAATATTAGAAATGCATTGTCTGACGCTGCTAGAGAGAACAGAAAACTTAGAAAATTATATTTGGATAAGAAAAGATCCAATCATATGTCCACATCATCTAATGGTATATCGTTTTTTATCGGATAGACTAATTTTTTTTTATATTATATTTTTAATGTCACACAATCCTCTAAATCTTAAAAATTATTATGTATTACCTACACTATTTGCTACATTGCAATTAATTAAACATTATTATTTTATAAATCGCTTATATATATATATATATATATATATATATATATATATATATATATATATATATATATATATCATTTAAATTTTTTTTGTTTTTTATTTTTCTTATTATATGTAACTTACACTTATTTGTATCTGCTTTATAACTTACATATTTTATATTATTTTACAGGGCTTTCTAATATAACTACCAACATTCAAACACCTTCATCAACCAAGTTTGTCAATATTGTTGGTAACAATGAAAATGTCAGCCCAACTTTGTCATGTGGATATCAGCAAACACGGGTTCAGTCTATTTCAAATATTTATATCGACAGTCCATTCTCGAACAAGGCTAAAGATAAACGAAAAGAAAGGAAAATTTATTTGGATACAAGAAGATCCAATCACATGTCCACCGTACCAATCGGTATATGATATATATCATCTTACTAATTTAATTGTATCCATATGAACTTATTCTAAATATTGTAATAAGATACTATGTTATTTTATATGTTTCTTAATAATTCCCTAATT